TTTTTTATGCACAAAACTATGACAAAACCATACTAAATGAGGAAATAAAACAACCTGATTAGCTGTAAGGAGAGCAGAGACAGACAACACCTGCTACTGACCAGGTTAGCTCTGGGGAGAATGTTTATATGGTGATTGAAACACAGGTTGAGGAAATTCTCTCTTTATGAAAAGGAAAAGCCAGAGTTTCCCTGTTTTCATGTTTAGAAAACAGAGATTTCTGCAATCATAACCCCACCTTGGTGCAATCAAAATCTTAATAATGAAGACTTTTTTTATCATTTTTCGACAGGATCATTTGTTAATTATTTCTGTGCATAGCACAATTAGTTTTTGACGAATAAAACTTACCTGAATTGCAATAGGCACCAGTTTATCATCAGCTGTTTTATAGAGCAGCACAAGTGGAGCCGCCAGGTATTGCTGCTTTCCATGGATTTCTCTTGTTTTTACTTCATCCAACAGCTTGTAGTCACACAGAAATATGTTGCCACACTGTTGTAGAGACAAATATGAAATATATGTATTGATAATTTTCTGGTAAATAATATCACATTTATTTAACAGTCAGACTTTTAGCATAAAAATAATTTTTAAATCACCTTAATTTCCTGATCCAGCCAAGAGGGACCGTTGCTGTGCTTGCTGATCATGTCATCAGTGACAGGAAAGTTGTCAGGCAGGGTATCACAGCGTCTGATCACCATGGGGTTAAGACCATTCAGGAACTGGTAGCCAAAGAAATCATCATCCTTCCAGTGGTCTTTGACATAGACTGTAACAAAGGACAGAATTTAAATCTTGCTTTTTGCATGTGTGAGGGTGTGAATTTATAAGGGACTAACTAAATGCCAAAATATATATGTATTATATATCCAATCATAATAGAACATACCCAAAATTTTGTTCTTGCTGGAGTCCGCCATTTCACCAATCTGATTAAAATCAGACCATTTACCATTTTCAAAAAAGGATTTAATTTTTTCCCAACTGTAGCTATGAAGTTAGAAGAAACACTGTTACTGAAATGAATGCATTACAATACGTGCAAAATGTTTCAATACTGTCTGTTTGTGCAAAGTCACAGAAAAAAAGTTTCATTATCATCAACATTTAGAACATAAGGACTTACCCTATAAATCCCTGAGTGTTAAGCCATATTTTCTTGAGTAATATGAACTGGGCGTCTAAATGCAGGTCAGTCGGTTCTTTTGCTTTGATATGATCAGGTAGTCCTTCTACAGATGTTTTCCAGCTAAAAAGGTGTTAAAGTAAATAGTTTTTACCTTCTGCGTTTTGTTTTCTGTTCAGATTATTGGATCAGTTCTATAAATAATTATCTGTCATCCAAAATTGAAAAAGATTTGTTAGCATAAATCTAATTTCTATACCAACTCTCATCACTCACCGATATGCTTCTTGCCGATTATCAAGCTCTTCCTGTCGACTGGATGAGTCGAAAGGGTCCTTTGAGGGTATAAAAGCTAAAGCAAACATAGCAAGAATTTAGAGTTAAGGTAAAAGATGCAAATTTAGATCTTAAGTTCAGATAAACTCTCACTGTAATAGGTTTATAGCAATAATATGTAAGTTGAATGAATTTGCACAAACCTTGACCCTCTCTGAAGTAGTGTTTCTCACTGTCAGTAATCCAGGTGTACAGGGGGAAGATGTAGTCTTCATTTGTGTCAGGTTTGACTTCTATTTTTGTTGGAAACCAATCGTCATTCAAAAAAAGCAAAGGCTTCTTCTGAACCACTACTTGCTGCAGTTTTCCAAGAGATTCCTCTGTGGTTATGGTGCATTTTAACTCCTAAAACAATGACAATTGAGAACATGATACAGAAGAAATAACTTAACTTGTTTTAACAAAGAGACACATATTGAAACAAAAAAAACGTGTACTACCATTCCTAAGAAGGCTTTTGCTCCAGAGAGCCATGTTGTTTTGCTTTGTCCTTTTTCCCCCACCAACGTGATGTATATATATTCCCTAGTGTAGGCCTTAAATCTTTCAGAGTTATGCACAGTGACTTCATAGTTCACCATTTTTACTCTTGGCAGTAAGTCACCTCTGATGGGAGAAAGAGAGTGCATTAATACATTTAGAATGACTACCAATAGATTAACCTGCATGTAGAAAACATTCTGTTGCATCATCATGATGCTTAAGAGAAGAACTACACATAGCAGCTAATTTAAAAAATTTCTCATCTAAACTGATGATTGTAGTCTGATAAACCCTTAAAAAAATAAATAAATAAAAACATGCATGTTACCTCTACAAGAAAGTCAAGAAGGTTCCTCTGAGGATCTGAAGCAATGTTGCCTCTCTGGAACCAACCCCTTATATACACCGATGGTTGAGAACATTTCTGGTCTGGAAACGTGAAAAATTCATTGGAAACCGTTATCTCGCCTGAAGTACCATGGAACTATTATGCATAGACTGCCTGGGGAAGTTGCCTCTAACTCAACGCCTTTCTTAGGAACAACTAACAGGTTACCGTTATGAAATTATTAGTACAGGGTTCAAGGAGCACATGATGACAACACAGATCCGGAGTGTAAGAGGACTTCAGCACAAGTATTATAGTATCACAAAGAATCACAAATGTTTCATTTTCATCACTGGAGTTTACATATATATATATATATATATATATA